TCCTGAGAATCTTATTCCACGGTCTCCCACCAGCAGGACTAACACTGCAGGCAGCTATAGACTTCAGACAGGCAGGTGACAGAAATTAACAACATGTTTTATGAGCAGGAGAGATGGCTCAGTAGTTAAGGGCAGTGGCTGTTCTTCCAGGACCTGGGTTCAATTCCCAGTGCCCACATAGCAGCTTACAACCCAGTTTCAGGGAATCCAATACCATCTTCTGACCTCCAAGAGCACCAGGTATGCACATGGTGCACAGACACACATGTAGGCAAAACACCCACACACAAAACAAACAAACATTAAATAGTATATTTCATGTTAATGCATATCGTTCTTTTAAGACCTTTAATGAAAAATATGCAAAAAATTATTTTAAAAAGTTTATAGAGGTGCATTTCTTTGTTTTTTGAGACAGGGTTTCTCTGTGTAGTCCTGGTTGCCCTAGAATCTGCTCTGTAGACCAGGCTGGGCTTGAACTCATAGAGATCCACCTGCCTCTGCCTCCTGAGTGCAAGGACTAAAGGCGTGCACCACGACCAATGAGCTATAGATGTGTATTTCAAATGAAAGTTTAAAAAGGGTGGCACAGATCTGTGATCCCAGGATCATGAGTCCACGGTAGCTTTGCCTGGAAGGGAAAGATGGCGTAAGGAAAAGGGTCCAAGCCTCGAGCACTGGAGGTAAATCTGTGCTTCAGGAGGCTCCCCAGTAAAGACTTTAGTTATTTCCTGCCAGGTTCCCTTACTTTTTTCTTTTTCTTCTGAGTAAGAGTCTCACTATATAGACCAGGCTTGAACTCACAGAGATCTGCCTGCCTCTGCCTCTGGAGTGCTCGGATTAAAGGTGTGTGCCACCGTGTCACCGTGTCTGGCTCTTCTTTTTTAAAAGTATGTCTTATGTGTTAGAAATTCAATAGATGCTCAAAAAATGCAAGAACTAACTGGAGAGCAAAGTAACTTCCTTCTTACTGCAGTCCACCCCCTGGGATAAGCACCCAAGGACACTGACTCCAGACACTACCTTACATGAGCTCTTGTGTGCACCTGTGTGTGCACACACACTCATGCACTCACTCACACACACAGAGCATGGTCATAATTGTGGAGTACCTGTTTTATTTGGAGTAGAAAATCCAAAACCTTGGGATGCCACGCTTCCACCGCCAGAGCTGAAAGTGCCAGCAGGCTTCTGTTCCCCGAAGGATGAGCTGCCAAACCCTCCAAATGTCTTAGCGCCACTGTTTCCAAATAGATTAGTGGTATCTAAAGGGACAAAGAGCAGGTGTGAGGGAGTTTGAAGAGGAGGACAATGTCATTTCCTTCGCATATGACAGAGGGAGACACATCAGCTGAGCATGGTGCAGCCCAGACTTGAGGGGAGTTCATGAAATACTGGCATTCAGGCTTAGGGCTTCTGGTGCAGCCCCACAAGGAGAGAACTGAAGGGAAAAGAGTGCCCGCAGTACTGTTCCTACCAAAGATGGCCAGTTTCTTGCCTCCTCTGGACAAGGCCTGGTCTCATTTGCCTCTCATGCAAAACCAAAAGAACTGAAGCCAGAGCAGAGTCTTGAGGGGGAAAGAGGAAGAGTCAGGAAGAACCCCAGTCCACAGTGTTTTGATGACTGTTCTGCTGGAAATGGTTTACAACCATGACAAGGCAGGGGAAGCTGCCTTGAAATGGGGAAGGGAGTACTGCTCTAAGACACAGGCTTCAATTCCCTCCAAAATGGATGTATTGGTGATAGCCACATCCTAACAGAGTTGAGCATGTCACCAAGCAAAAATGCAAACATGTGCACAGGTCCAGCCTTTCCCCAGATACCATCTGTTCCTGGTGTATCTGACACAAGGAAGTGAGGTAGGTGCACTCACTTTGAAAACTGAGCTTCGGGAAGGTCTGGCACACCCCAACTCACAAGTTCTTAGGTCTCAGGCTGGGTCCGTGTCCGTCCCATCCCCCCTCCACCCCCACTGCACCCCGCCACCTGTGTCTAGGGACGAGAGGCTTCCAGTTACACTGTTCTCAGAGTGTCTTTCTTGGTCATGGCCACAGTTTTTACACAGCCTGAACTCTAGGCTGAAGTGAACTTGATTCTATCCTCCAGTTGGTAGGAAACTACAAAAGGGTTCAGCATTGGAATTGTGGCAAAATAAAAATAGCTTAAAAATATTTTAATTGAGCCGGGGCATGGTGATGCAAGCCTCTGATCCCAGCACTTAGGAGGGAGAGGCAGGTGCATCTCTGTAGGTCAGCCTGGTCTACAAGAGCAAATTCCAGGACAGCTAGGGCTGTTACACAGAGAAACCCTGTCTCAAAAAAACAAAACAAAACAAAACAAGATTTGAGGTGGATTTCCTGACCATGGCAAAGAATGGAGGAGGGAGGAGATTGAGTCCAGACTCCTTCCATGAACCAGGTGACCAGAGACAGGCAGGCAGGCAGGCAGGCAGGCAGACAGACAGACAGACAGACGATAGCAATGAAGATAAGGCAGCAAAGAACCTATATGAGAGGTGGGCAGAATTCAACACAGGAAGGCAGTTCCTGGAGGCTCCAGCCCTTCCCTGTATCACAGCCCAGCTCCTCTACTGTTCCTGTCTCTTCCTTGGCCTGTACTTACCTGGTCATAGGGTTTAAGAAGTTCCTGATCTCTTAACCCACAAAGAAGTCATTAGACAGTGGAGTGAGGAGCTTTTACTGCCCCTGGGTCAATTCTCCCTTGGCTGACTTCAGGCACTGGATGTGGGTGTGGGGAGGGGTGTGCAAGGCTGACACGGCTTAGACTAACCACCGGGGAAGGCCAGCTGACAAGCAAAAGCTAGGCTGTCAGAGAGGAATTGGCTAGCAGAGGGATTTTCACAGGGGATGACACATCTAAGCCATTAACAAAACTGGCTGGTAATAAGGCCACACAGATAGATGATGACCTGTATCTGGGACCCACCCCAGTGTCCACATAGCACACTAGGTGACTATGTGCCAAATGCTGTGTTTGGCATGTTACATGTATCTGAACTGAGCCATACCTGCTGTTTTCTCACTTTGATCAGAAAGGACCATGCTCTTACAGCATTTGCTACATAGCCCTTCAGTCCTGGAGATAGTCAAACATTTCCACTACATCAGGATTCTCAGCCCCTGCCTTGGTATGCACCCATTTTTGTTTTACTTATCAGGAGTCTGTTGTTTAACAGCAAAACAGGTTTTGAAAATATGATTTCTGAGATCCCTTCACTCAGGTTTTAAATCCGTCCAGGGGTGGCCGGGTGACTTAGGAGGGAATGCCTCGACAGGAATCCTTCCATGTTACCAGAGCAGAAACATCAGAACAACCAGTCTTTGATCTATACAGCCAGAGACCAAAACTGAGACAGAAAATATTACTCTTAATCCCACAGGCTTTAATATTATGAAGACAGCTAGAGGATACAAGTGCAAGACTCAGCGATATCGTGTACAGCTCACTGTAGCACATTAAGTGGAAGCAGGTAAAGCCCTCGAGGATGACAAGAACCCAATTTGCAACCCTAGCCACAGCAGAAGTATACATCGTCTTATACTTCCAACTGGGACAGACAGATCAACTCAGAATGTGAACAATTAGCTGAAGAAAAAAGTGCTAGGAAGTCTAGCTTTAGGGAAAAAGGCAAGAAAGGTAAGCGATGAGAAATATGCAGGCTCGAGCCAACTGCCAGTGCACTTCAGAGTCAGAGAGGCAGGCAAGCAGAAGCACTGTGCCAGCACGGGGCTGCTCATGTCTACTGTCTGCCCGCACTGCCTTCACACAATCTCAGTACTAGGAGGCAGAGCCATCTGGGCCTTGGTAAAGAAGGGAGAGGCAGTCCATCACACTCATCTCTCTCTCTCTGCAGCTCTGCTGTCCTTTCACGACTGTAGAGGACACCTCATTAGAACAAAAATAAAAACCAAAGCAGAGCAATGTGGGTGGAGTTCAAATAGACCCTCTCTAGTTTTGCCCCCCTTTGTATTTGTTCCTGAAGCTTTGATAATACCAGAGGCTGACAACGGCATCAGAGGACCAGGGAGCTGGGAAACTCAACTTACTTGGGGTGGCTGTAGATCCAAAGCCCCCACTGGCTGAGCTGAATGGGTTTTTGTTGGCAGCATCCTGGCTGGGTTTTCCTCCAAGGCCACTGAAGAAACCGCCCCCTCTTGTAGAGTTTCCAGACCCAAACACGCTACCACTGGAAGTGGATGACTGCTAAAAAAAAAAAACAAAATGAGGGAGGGGTAACAGGAAGCAAGAAAGGATGAGAGATCACGTCCACATCCTGGCAGGAGGAGCTCACAGCTGGTGCAGGTAGAAAAAGCGAGAGCACTCTCATCCCCACTGGCTGACTCCGGAAGACTTCCTACAGACCTGAGGTTCCCGGGTTACTGCATTTAGAGTAATGCTGCCTGCACTGTCTGACTCAACACCAGGCGCAGGAAAATCAAGCATCAAAGATCTACCAAATGCCAAGTTTGAAAACAGGGAGGAGCTATCATGTCTCCAGATTCCTCTAGTGTTAGCTGGTCATCAGCAATGATTACATGACTTACAGGCATTTCTATCCATTTGTGCACTTGTAATTCACAATGAATTGCCCAGTGCTGCAGAGAGCAGCCCAAATTAGCCCCATTGTTGAAAAGATGACCATGGTTGATTTCATCCAAGCATTCAGAGGACCGCTAACTCAGGGCAAATGCTGACTCGGAGCTGTATGGAGCGACAGGCACTCAATTTGTTTACAAGCTGGCCCTTTTAGGGAAACCAGCTTGCTAATTGAGGGACTGCTCACATTAGTTAAGCTGACATCTCCTTGGTTAATAATGCAGAATAAAATAGGCTTTAGGGAAGAAGTGTAAATGAAGGATGGGGGTTGCATGCTGCAGACAAGGTGGTGCTGTTGTTCCTCCTATGAGACAGAGAAACTGCCCACTTCAAATGGCAGGAAAGGAGCTGAGCTTACAATTGTACCTGAGTATAGGAGCACTTGCTTAGGTAGCACATATACTAAAATTAGAATGACATAAAGAAGACTAGCGTGGCCCCTGTGCAAGCAGGACACACAACTTTGTGAAGGATTCCTTTTTTTTTTTTTTTAATTAAAGAACTGCACCTGAAACACAACCCTCCTCAGAAATGGCTCCCTCAGCACCTCCTGGGCATGAGAGCTCCTTTGCAGAGCATGGGGTCATCACTTAACCCTACCTCTAACACCACCTCTTCTCGCTATGCTGGTTTGGGCCTTTGGTCAGGACTAGCTACAGCTCACCTTCAACAGCACTGGGCCAATCCCTTCACTTCTGTTTACAAGCTAAGTGGTCTGGCCCCTTGGCCAGCATCTGAGCACTCTTCTCCCTGCAGCCCCCCAAATGTCTCTGATGCTCCACACACAGAAAACTAAGTTTGGTCTTCGGGCAATACTCTTAGTCTACTGGATAGTCCCCCACCCTTAAACTTCTTTAAAATATAAAATAGTGGATAATCAGTGACAGCCTTTGCAATGACAGGAACCATGACAACTCAGTGTCTGATGTATGGAGGGTCCCTAACTGCCATACATCAGGCTGGAGCACAGAAAACCATCACATACAGACAATCTGCCCTAGAAAATGAATACTCTCAACACAGCCTGAGATGGCCACCCATAGAGTGAGCAGAAGAGGGCAACTAACTGATTAAAGTGAGTGTGAATCTAAGTCCACAGTCAAGTTCCTTCAGATGTCACTTCTGCCTCAGGCAGTACACTCAAACTTCATGCAGATCAAGACTGCTTCATCAACCTGTTTCTCTGCCTAGATTCCATCCCACTGCTGTCGGCATGCTCCCACAACTCTGGAGCACACACTTAAAGTCTGTTGCCAGTCCCATATGTGGATCCTCAGTAGCTGACTGGCTGCATTATAAATGGGTGTGCTCATTCCAAGTGATTTGCATCTTCCTCAGATGTGTGCATGCACTTGCTTTTCTTCTTCTGTAGCCCAGGCTGTCTTATCTCCAGTGCTGGGTGTAACTCACCTGGCACTTTCCCTTGTATATGGAACCTTACACTAGAAGGACAACAGTGATGGAGGCACCCTTGTGTCCTAAAGAGGGGTGCATCCAGGAAGGGTGTCTATTTCAGGGTGCTGTGCTTACCTCTGGCTGGCACTGGATTGTCTCCTAGCTAAGCTGGAGCAAGGTTGTTGGGCAAGACAGAGCCAGGCAACCACATGTGCTTCAGGCTTTGTTTCTTCTTAGAATAGGTGTGTGTCTATGCTGATGGTGTATCAGCACATGTCTATCTTCTAACCCATATATTGTTACATAATTTAGTACAGTGACTTAAAATTTAAATACCAAAGGATTTTAGCATGTCACTATCAACTTTTAAAAATTATGGAAAATATATAGCCATGTTGGCATTTTGATCATCTGTAGCTCTCAGGGCAGTGGCAGCAATTATATTCACAGCAGCACAACCACTAGTACCGACTGAACTCAATATCCATTGCTGAAATTCTGTAACTGTTAAACCACAGCTTCCCATTCTTCCTCCCTCTAGTCCAGTGATTCTCAACCTGGGGGTCAAACAATCCTTCCACAGGAGTCGCCTAAGACCATCGGAAAACACAGATTAATATCCTCTTGCAGCTGGCTTTTTCTGCTTTGCTCATGCTACTCATGTGTAGCAAGAACCAGAACTTCATTTTTTTTTTTTGTATGGCTGAATATTCTGTTGATGTTCGTTCTACATTTCCTCTGTTCATCTGTCCAGTGACTGACACAACAAACACTGGCATAACCATCTGCTTGAGGTCCTTTTTTCAATTCCTTTGGTTATAAGCCTAGAATCAAAACTGCTGGGTCATGTGGCAGTAGTACTGTTAGCCTTTAGAAGAGGTCTCCAACTACATTTCACAATGACTGTACATTATATAGAACCTCCAGCAATGTACAAAGGTTTGGATCTCTCCATGTTCTTGACAAAGTGTAGTTTTAAAGCAGCAGTGCAGCCCGACTGCTGGATTTTAAATTTCCCCAACATTTAAGGTATTTTTTGTCTTTCCATGTTCACTGGCCATTTATGCCACTGCCAACAGCTACTCCCCACTCTCTGGCAAGGCTTTTCCTCGATGGCCAAGGTTCTGACCACTGTGCTTGCCTGCAGCCAGCCCCCTGTTCTCTGGAGCCAGCTCACCAGGCTGTCTGCTAACCTCACTCCATTAGGAACAACACCTTTTCAAAGATCAATCCAGCAATACTTCCTGCCCACATGCTCTTCTAGGGCAATAGGTGTTGGATTCTCCCTGGACATGGATCTGTCTGAGGAAACGGTGAAGCCTCTGCAGCAATCCAAGACACAGATCCTAGGAGATGCCACAGTGGTGGTTCTCAACCTGTGGATTGTGACCCCTTTGGTGGTGGCATATCATATATTTACCTTGCCAATTTATAATAGAAAAATTAGTTATAAAGTAGCACTGAAGTAATTTTATGTTTGGTTGGGGTCACCACAACATGAGTAACTATACGAAAGGGTTGCCTTCTGGTGATTCTGGCCCCTAGCTCTCCATTCCTCCAGCAGCCCCTGCAGCTAATGCGGCACAAGGCCAGCCAGCCCCATCTGCCAATCTGAGTTCGCGGTGCACAGAATCCATGGATAGATGAATGACTGGTATGAGGTGATGTGTTTACGAAGCTCTTAGATAAGTGTTGTTTATACCACCTGGAGTTTTCTTGGGATTACGGTGTGAATGGGCAAATTCTGTATCCTTTCACATCTTAGCCAGTTAGGTTTTTTGAGGACTACTCCCCACACCTAAAACTAGACGATACCAGAATACTGTCCATTAGGAGCATGTGTGTGCCTTCTAATATACTGGACTTTTATCTGTGTGAGTGTTTTCCTCAATTGCTTCTCTGCTTATTTTTTTGAGACAGGGTCTCACTGAACCTGGAACTCATTCACTGCTAGGAAGCCCCGAGGAGCTTGCTGTCTCTGCCTCCTCTGAGCTGGGATTACAGGTGTGCACCATCACCTAGTTTTTTGTTTGTAAATATGGATGCTGAGAATCTAAACTTAGGTCCTCATGCCTGCCTAACAAGTATTTTAGTTACTGAGCTGCTCCTTAGTCCCCCTGACTTTTGCAGTGTTACTGGTATATATATTCCTGTGGTTTTAATTTGTAATTACTAATGAAATGGAACATCTTTATGTCTACTGGTTGTCTATTCTTTATTAGTTTTTAAAAAAAGATTTAGTTAGTTATTGTGTATATAGTGTTCTGCCTGCGTGTATCCCTGTTGACCAGAAGAGGCCACAAGATCTCATTATAGATGGTTGTGAGCCACCATGTAGTTGCTGGGAATTGAACTCAGGACCTCTGGAAAAGCAGTCAATGCTCTTAACTTCTGAGCCATCTCTCCAGCCTTCCTTTACTAATTTTTAAAAATTACATTTACTTATATTTATGTGTATGTGTGATGACAAGCCTGTGGAGATCAGAGGGCAAATCTGATAGGGTCAATCTCTGTTTCTACCATGTGGGTTCCAAAGACGGATCGCTCTCAGGGCATTAGCTGTGGCAACAAGTGCCTTTATGCACTGAAACATCTCGCTGAGCCTGTCCTTTATTTTTAATTTTTTTCTTCCTCTATGACTTCTCTTACTTCCTAGGGTTCAAACTAAAGTTACAAGTAGCTTTAACCACTTAGCTATCCTTGCAAGCCCCATTTCAGTTTTAAAATTTATTTATTTTTGAGACAAAATCTTACTACTATATAGTCCAGATGGACTTTGAACTAGTCTTGTGATCTTCCTGGCTGGGACTCATGAGTGCTGGAACTGCAGGCTATACTGTTATGCCTGGCTCGTTTTAGCTATTTTTATGTATAGTAAGCAGTGATAATGCTGTCACCTTCTCTGATTGTCACTGAGCTACTTTCTTGATTTTGTTCCCTTGAGATAAGAGTATTGCTGTATAACAGGCTCTGGCTGTCCTGGATTTTTTTTTTTTTAATAACATTTATTGTGTGTGTGTGTGTGTGTGTGTGTGTGTGCGCGCGCGCGCGCGCGCTATTCTTTTTTTCTTAAGCCTTTTAAAAAAGATTTAACTTATTTATGTATATGGTACTCTATCTGCATGTACATCTGCAGGCCAGAAAGAGGGTATCAGATACGTGTGTGTGTGTGTGTGTGTGTGTGTGTGTGTGTGCGCGCGCGTGCGCTATTCTTTTTTTCTTAAGCCTTTTAAAAAAAGATTTAACTTATTTATGTATATGGTACTCTATCTGCATGTACATCTGCAGGCCAGAAAGAGGGTATCAGATACCATTATAGATGGCTGTGAGCCACCATGTGGTTGCTGGGAATTGACCTCTGGAAAAGCTGCCAATGCTCTTAATTGGTGAACCATCTCTCCAATGTGGAAAGCTCACTGAATTCTGACAGATGATTGTAACTATGTAAGTTCAATATTCTAGGCAGCACACACTTAGTGCTTTCTAGGGCTCCCCAACACCTCATACATACACCTCAAACTGACTGCTACTAGAGCTGCAGTGACCCCAAGTGAGCCAGCCTGCCTGTCCTTGCCCCTGCAAATAAGTGTACTCTAAGGGCAAGAACTGTAGTAGCAGGCTTCCCTCACCCCACATCACCGCAGGTATGTGGGGCGTCCATCTACTTTGTGGTGTTAGCAGCAGCACATTATACCTTTCTGCTCTTTTTCTGCTAGAAGGGCATGGCACTAACTCGTCTATTCTGTGTCTTTGTAGAGCTGGGTTCCTTCCTGGCTTTGCTATCACAGATGCATGGACGGCTATGCGCGTTTTATCGCTATCTTTGCTGGACAAAGAGCCTCACTTATTTCTCTTGGTTACACACACTCAGAGCAGATCTGCTGGGCCATACCTGTTCAGCTGTTAATGCCAGATGGCTTTCCAACTCCTATGGCCAAGCACAAGTGTGTAGCTGCTCTCTCCTTACTTGGTACTTATATTTTTGGTTGTGAGCCTAGCCTTTAGCGGCTGCGCCAATCTACCCACTTCATGACTTGTTTCAACTTAAGATGAAAGCCATACTTTTGTCAAGGTCAATTTCTAATTCTTG